CTCTATAGTAGGGTCACCAATAAAAACATTCAGAAAAATGAAAATTCAAAGCTGAGAAAAATGATTGATAGGAGGAAAATCCCCAGTATAGTGTGGAATATTCCATTTTGTACAGATTTCTCCTGAAAGTCAAGGACTTAGCTAAAGGACACAGCCAACAGGTGAGTGCCCTGAAATTAGGGATAAGGAGAGGAAGGGGATGGAACTGGGTTAGCTCAGCAACAAGCACATGAAAGCAATCCTACAGAGCACTGGACACAGGGGTCTCCTGCTTTCTCTTTCAGATATGATAATTTCCTATGAGCTGCCAGGAGCATTCTGATTCAGACATAGATGCAGAAACATCTAGACTGGCTGCACCATTTTCTACACTTTCGAGCAATTTTGAGCATAGCTGTAAACTAAGATCAAATTATACATCTTTGAAAACCCAGTGCTAATATTGTGCTCATACCACACTCTTAAAACACCCCACAAAATATGAGAAGTCAGGAAGAAAAGTGAAAAATAAGATAACAGGGTATAAATAGACATTTCATCCCCAGCAAGGCTACCACGGACAAAGGGGTAGCCACCAGAATTTTTCTCTGGGCCCTATTATTTTTCCAGCATGTTTCAGAATTATGAAAGTATCTATTACTGTATATTTTTAATAATTTTCAATATTTTTGAAGACTACTTATTTTATTAGAGAGAGGAAGAGAGGGAATAAGAGAGGGAGAGAAACTTTGATGTGAGAGAAACATCAATCAGTTGTGCCTCTCCTCTGCACCCCAACTGGGACCAAACACACAACGCAGGCATGTGACCTAAATGGGAATTGAACAGAGATCTTTGGCTTTGCAGGATGACACCCAACAAACTGAGTCACACTGGCCAGGGCTCTATTACTGTTTATTAATGAACATATTTATGTGTCTATATTATACTTGTCCAGCTAAATCCTGAGCAAATTCCATACTCTTCAATCTAGAGTACCAGACTTAACTCCACAAATCCATGCATGATTAGAAACTCCAACCCTTGTACGCAAGCCCTGAATAATTTTGGATGAATTTTTAGACTTTGCCTAGACTTAGCCTGGGGGAAGCTGCAGTAACAATAACTATAGCAGAGAGTTCCAAAAAGCAAAAACAAACACCAAACAAGCAACTCTCCTACTGCTTAAGTCATGCGGACTTTCCAGAATATTACTAACTTTTGTCTGTTTGTTTGGTCTTGGTGAATACAGAGTCAAAAAAAACAAACAAACCCCAAAACTATGGCAATCTTTTTCACCTTTGAAGTTTAACCATATTAAGGAACAATAAAATATTTGGCACTTTAGATGTTGTGGCTTTTTTTTCTGGTGGTGGTGGTACTGGCTTCAAACCCCTGTTGCAAAATCTATTAGTTTTTAAAAAATCTTAGTCATGTTTGGTTATTAAGTAAATATTGCTTTCCTTCAGTTGTAGGAAGGAGACACTGTATGCTCTCACCAAGGCATAGTTTTAGAAATAAGATCCTCCAGAATTCTTATTTAGAGATTTGTTTGTAACTTCAGAGACCTGTATAGATGCATATCTTAACAGCAATCCACTTGAATTGCTCCAACTTTTGGTGAATATTGATTCTCCCAAAAAAAGGCTATGTCGGGAACTGAATGCATTCATGACATCAAGGGAAATACACCTACAATGTCTGTATGAGTAATGAAAAGTTAATTACAGGAGAAACCCACCTTTCTGAGCTATTATTATGTATTCTGGAGGAGAAAAGCAAGTTTACCTCCAAATGAAGTTAAGTTTATCTAGAATAATGTGGTGAAAAGTTTTTTTTAATCAATATAGGAAAATGTTATTTTATAATATAAAAAAAGGCAAGACAAATTTTTATATTATGATCTTGCAAATGCTAATTATTTACACATGCATGATTATATTTTCCTTCAATAAAAGATTTCAATCATTATTGCTCCCCTTCTCTTATACTTACGTACCTCCTTGCCAGTGTAAGAAAATGGTACAGGAAAAAAAACCCCGAAACACCCTTAAGAGGTAAAACTACATGAACTATATGAAATGCCAGACTGTTAATTACAACATTTTGTTGAGATGTGAGGAAATAGAATATAAGGGAGGATGCAAATTTTTTAAAAGTTGTATGTCAAGATAGCAAATATTGGTTCAAAATTTTCAAAGAAATATCTACATAAAAATTATGAGTAAATCAGCTTTTAATAACTACACATCAGCAATGTTTTCTGAATAAGTCAAGAATGAGATTCAAAGAATAGGGTTTTTAGTCATAAGGTCAGCTTTGTTTTGAAAATGAATGCTTACCAGGACTATATACATATATGTATAATACATATTTTAATGCTATTTTTATGGTTCTTTGTCAATCCTTTATTTTTAATGAGAACTTGATAATTCAATTTTGCGGTTACCTGGGATTACTATATACAAAAATCATATCTAACAGGTATCTGACACTTAGTATTTGACATTGTGTCAGGCCCTGTTCTAAATGCTTTTTTTTAATATTAACTCAATCTTTGAAACTATGAAGTATATTATTACTATCCCCATTTTACAGATGAGAAGACTGAAGCAGAGGGAGCTAAATAATTTGCTCAAGGACACACAGCCAGTAAATTTTAAAAGGACTAGAAGGAAATACACCAAGGTGGGTTTTCTCAAGGTATGGGGTTATAAAGGATTGTTAAGAAAGATGACATGATAATATCTTGAACTAAGGATAGTTGCAGCTGAGTTGGAAAAGAGAGGGCAGGCTCCAGAACAGTTTAGGAGAAAATAATGGCAGAGCTTGTGGACTGACTGATTCCACACGGGGGTAAGAGACGCGAGGGGAGTCTAGGAATACTCCAGCCTCCTGCCTTGGGGGACTGACTGGGTGAACATGATCTCTAAAGTAGGGAATATAGAAGGTTGGAGCAGTTTTGGGAGAAAAGAGGATGTACCCAATTTTGACATGTTAAGCTATATTGTGAAGTATTTGAATATGTAAATTTTAAGCTCCAGAAAGAAGTCGGGTCTGGATTTGGGAGTCTTCACACACGGCTGGTAATTAAACCCCAAAGAGAGGTTACCATAAGCCAGGGAGAGCATGGAAGCAGAAAAAAGGCTGTGGGCCAAGGATTAAACTTTGGAGAATTCCAACTTTATGTGATATGCAAGGGATATGACAGCGATTCAGATTTAACTTCAAAATAAAAAAATAGATATGAAATGTAGGATATTTATTTGCTTTTCAAGCTAAGTCTTGTTTATGAGAGACAAGGTAGCATGGAAGTGGGTGGGGCAGGGCAGTCAGGGAAGCTTGGGCGCAAATCTAGCACTTCGCCGCTTCAGAGGTCTGTGACTGCCGTCAAGTTACTGTCTGTAAAATGTGAATGGTTAATACACTATTCATCCTATCGTGGGCATTAAATGGGTTAATCCACAAAAGCATTTATATGGCACAGTGTATAACATGTAGCGTGGATTCAATACATATTTGATATGATCGTTAATGAGTACACAAATAATAAAATTTCTCATTCCACTGTCATGCTTTGCCAGTTGAGAAAATGATCAAGAGGTCTGCTGGTTAGCAAAAATAAATAAACCACAGTGGCATTAAACAATAATATGAAAAAGCCACCAAAATAATTCACAGACGTTCAAGAACCAGTATTTTTCCATGAATTTGTACGGTATAGTACAAGTAAACAGAGGTAATAGCCGTTACTTAAAACAATTAGAAATGCTGGTATATGAGCTACAGGACTAAAGTAAATTTTTTTTTACTCTAAATATTTAACAAGTAGCCCCAGTGCCGGGCACAGAGTAAACCTTTAATAAATGTCTCGTCTGAATGTAACTAAGTGATTAATAAAAAAAAAAGGAGGGGAGATGATTTTGTTATATCTGCTGTTAGGCATTTCCCTATTGAAAGAATAATCATTCATGCAATGAAAAAGAAATAGACACCACGCGTGTGGTTATATGAAATCCCAAAGAGCTTGGCCATGCGCCTCTTCTCCCACCCGCATCTACACCATTTTTGAAATTCCCAGCCTGAGAAGGCCTCCTTTGGAACACGGTTTCCAGTCCTCGCAAGGGCCCATTAAAACGCAAGTATGCCCTTTGCCGACGGGCACCAACTTGGCTCTGACAGACACGGGCACATTCATGAGCCTCGCTGTGTGAGGAGCTGCCTCCCGAAGGCGCAGACCTCGGGCGCGGGAAGGGCCGCTTCTGAGCTGACGGGTGGGGTCAGCCTTGGTCCGAGGCCAGGGCGCCGGGCTGAGCAGCCCGGCTGCGGCCCGGGGACAGGCCCCGCTGCAGCGACCAGCCAGCACAAAGGCAGCCGGGGCGGCCGGTGGCGGGGCGGGACGCCGTCAGGCCCGGGCTCCCCTGCTCCTCACGACGCGGCCACCGCGGTGCTTCCGAGAAGCCGCTGGCCCCGTCAGAACACCGCGGCCTGACGAGCGGCGCAGACCGACGTTCATTCTGATCTCATTTTTTTCATCAGTGTATCAAACCTCCGGTTCCCCGGCAATTGGGGGCTGCGGGGTGACCAAACGGAGTAAAAATCTGAAAGGTCTTTTTCAATTCGTCTAGCTTAAATTCCATGCAATCTTTAAGCTGTGGGCTAATATGTATTCTACAGTTCAGGGTTTGCTTTTCAAAGGCATTTAAATACCATGCTAGGGGCCACCGCCGGGAAAACGCGACAGACTTAAGCGCCCCAGTCAGTAGGTTCCTACTTAAGAGTTCCGGCCTCGGCTGGGCTGCAGCTGCGGCTGCAACTCCGCCTACGCCTCCGCGCGCTCCCTGCTCGCGGGGATCGGCTCCCGCCAGACGACGCCCGCGCGCGCACTCCGCAGGGGCACGGGCGCCTAGCAGAGGCCGTCACGTCCCGAGCGTCGGGAGGCGGGGCCTCGAGCTGTGATGTCATGAGACCCCGCCCCCCACATCCCTGATATCACCCCCGCTGCCCGCCATTTTGTCTCCAGTGTCTCGTTTGCAGTCGACAGAATAGAAGGAAGTGTCTTGGTCTGTACGCGTGCGGCCGGGACCTGGGTCTATTGTCTGTGTTTGACTCCATAGTTTGGTCCGAGGCCTTCGGAGCTTCCCCGGGGCAGTCGGCAGCGGCCGCCGCGACCGCCCCCGCCCCTCCCTTGCGTCCCCGGGACCGGGAGGGACCAAGCCCGCGTCACGCCCCTCAGCGCTCGCCGCTCCCTTCTCTGTCGGTCGTTGCGTCGGCATCGCGTCCCCGGAATCAGACGGTGCCCCATAGATGGCCAGCTTTCCCCCGAGGGTCAACGAGAAAGAGATCGGTGAGGAATGGGACGGTGGGCAAGGGGTTCTGGTGAGGGCGTGGGGCTCCGGAGAGGCAGGGCTCCTCGGAGGAGGCTCGAGAGGAAACCTTTCAGAATCTGAGGGAAGTAAGATGAGCCGGAGCCAAGCCCTGGAGCGAACTGGAAGGAAGCGGCCCCGCGGGTGGGGGTCGCGAGGGTACATGGGATCCTCATTGATGCAGCGCCTACCCTGCGCCCGGCCCGGAGGGGGGCAGTGTGCAGCTGTTAGGGTCAAGGGGAACCTGGGCGTCGAGTAGTGAGGGCCCCGGTAGCTGTGTGGCTCGGGCCGGGCACACCCCTGGGGACCCCACCTTACTCTTCGGACGTGCGAACGGGACCATTATCCTAGGATTCTTCTTGGTTCAGCGGCTGGGCGTCGTGTGCACAGGGAAGTGCCGGGCAAGTCTCGGGGGCTCTTACATTTACGGTGCGAAAGTAAACTTGTATGTTCTGGGCTACTCTTTTAAAGAGAAAAGCGACGGAAGACGTGCCTGGAGCCTGGGAAAAGCAGTTAAAAAAAAAAATGGTGTGGCGTTCAGGGAGTGGTTCGGGTTCAGGGCAGGACGACTCAGAATTATCTCTGCTGCACACAGAGCGGGGAGGAGCGAGAGGTTGGGTGGAGTGACAGAAGAAAAGCTGGTGGACGGGAGAGCGAACTCTGAAAGGCTGTTTGAAAACTGGTTTAGTGGCTGGCTCTGCCGCGCTCCAGACGGGGCAGTCGATTTTGAAGGTTGTGCGTCAAGACCTCAGGGGCTCAGTTAAAAGCACCTCTCATTTAAATTCCTCTCTTAAGGTAAAATAACTGGAACAGCTTTTGGGGTTGTGGGGAGAGCATTCATAGATACACTTAGTAAAAATTGAACTTATCAAGTCATCGTGTTATACACCTGAAATATATAGTTTTTATTTTAAAAATTAAAACAGATTTAGCATCCCCCTTCTCCCCGAAAAACCAGCTCTGAATTTTGTGTTAAATGAAAAGGAGGGAGCCTTGCACTTCCCTGTTCTTCAACTAAATGTGTGGCTTTACTAAATACATGGAAGAGGTGTGTGTAGGGAAAGGGAGAAGCCGAAGAAGCCAAAATGCTCTCTGTCCTGTATGTTGGTAAATTTTGTTTAGAGACAGCTTAGAATTCTGGGCTTTAGTTTTCTTAAGGATAAGCTTGAATGCCAGGTTAGGAGAGAACTTTAACCCTGATTTTAATAACTTTTAAACTCGCAGAGAAAACAGTTCATGTCCAGTTTTTATTTGAACTGTACTTTAGGGCTAGTCAATATGTCCTGATGTGGAACATGGAACTCAGAAAAGTTCTTATTTTCAGTCCAGTGGGTTTTTTTTTCCTACACATAATACCACTGACAAACAATCTGCCTTTCTTTAATCTGTATTTTTACTTCACCTTGATCAACCATTTTGAAATTTTTCAGTTTTCTCTTCTGAGGGATAGGCTTCTTAGCATACCTGTAGAAGGGAGAATCATCTACTAAGTAACCTTTAAAATTTTTTTTGCATGTTTAGGTCTCTGTTATTTCTTGGATATAATAATAAAGTTATTTTACGAAGTGCCAATGTGTTAAAAGAACTTTGGCCTTTTCTAACCTTTTTTTCTGGGGGGCAGGTATCACTTGGGTACAGGGTTAAACACTAGTATCTCTGTGTAGCTTTGTCTTTATCAGTAAGGACTTACTCTTTCCCTACTTTCTTGGATATTATACCTGCTATTTGGGTTCTCTAGTACTACTGAAAGAGGAGAGAGACAATTCCATTAGTGATTAAAGAAGTCTGTGACAGGGAGTAACTGCCCTCTTTCACAAGGCACTGTCTCAGATGCCTCCTTTCTGGGTGTGGAGTTGCAGGGGGGAATATGAAGAAGGAGCTAAATCTAGTTTGCTTGGTTCAGCAGTGACAGATGATGCACCAGCACTGTACAGATAGTATTAACAATGCAGAGTTGTATCTTACAGCCGAGGTCCTGTGGCAGGTAGCTTTTCCCTTATACAAGTTCATTAAGTCACACATTTCTTAGGATACCAGCATTAAACCACTGCAGATAATGTAATACAGGTTTAACTTACAAAAACTGTTTTTCAAAGCACTTTATTATAAACCTTGTGCTAGTTTATAATATTGTACTGGTAAGCATTTGAATGAGTGCTTAAATTCATTTGATTAAACTGAAAAGCTCATTTGATATACTGGTACCTGTTAACAAGCAAAGAAACATAAGGTAGTTATTAATTCAATACTTGTAACAGCATTTATTTGGCAGGGTTTTTTTTTACATAGCGGCTCCAGTTCTTGAATTTATATTCGAGAATATGTTAAATTATTATTTTGTTGTCTTTGTTTTATTTGAACCAGTCTTTTGGTTAACTTATAATTACCCTATATAAGAGGAATTTTGTGATTGTGGCCAAGGTAAAAGAAGAGAATAAACCCTGCCTTGTTATTTAAAAGATTTTGGATTCCGAAAGAAAATACAAACCAAAAAAAAAGTGTTCTGTGGGAAAGTTAGTCTTGCTTCTGCTTGTTAAAGGAAAGGTGAATGCTAGTCTAATTTACCAGGTGTTTCTGAGGTTGAATACTAGGGGTAGCCTTCTTTGTTGAGATAGAAATTACATAAGTATACTCATCTAGTTTAACCAGGGGCTTTTCCTTTTTAAGATAATGGTTACATTTCTCAGTTGAAATTTAAAAATTGCTTCCCTTGTGAGTTTTTTTTTTTTCCTCCTGAAATTTATGGATTTAAAAGATAGATGTGGTTGAACAGAAACCCAAGTTTTAAAAAAAAAAAGTTAGGCAGGGGTTGCAAATTCAGGGGCCAGGCACATAGAGTACCCTAGGGGAATGACTATATAAGACTATGGGCTTGGAGGAGTATAAGGAAACATGGAGCAGCAAGCCCTTTCAAAAATCATTAGTATATTTAAAAACAAACATTTTGCAGGCATATGAGGGTTGCCGATTTTGTATAAATTTTGTGTTAAGAAAGTCATGTTATTACTAGCAGAGTTAATGTCACCTTGTGCTGTATTGATGTAGATGAGGTGGAGATAGGTTGGGGGTTCTGCTGCCTTGATTAAGCCACATCTGAAGTATTGCATTTAGTCCTGGGTGCCACTTCTAGGAGGGCAATTATTAACTGAAGTTGACCCAGAAAAGTGTGATGAAGGTGAAGATGGAGAATGGACTTTCTTGGGTGTGACAGCGAGTTAACCACCCTCTCAGTGTAATCTAAGGAATGATTGTAAGGACTAGAGATTTTAGCCTGGTAAATAGATATAGTTGATGATGTCATAGCTGTCTTCAACATATGAATGTCATGTGAGAGCAGGATTAGGCTTATTCTCCTTTTAGGTCAAAATTTGGACTGAGTGGTTGGAGTGGCAAGGAGGAAGATTTTGAGTAATGAAAAGGAAAGTTTCTGATAATCTCAGCTGCACCAAATTAGAATGAGAGCCTTATTAGGTATTCATATTTATGAATATCATAGAAAAATAGGTCTCAGTTTTGTTTACCTTTTAAACCAAAGCTTATATGTTGATATATGAAAGTATTGGGCAATGTAATATTTAAATCACTTAAGAATGAGAACTTATACATGTGCTTTCATATTCATTCAATAAATATTTACTGAGCACCTGTCATGACAGGTGCTACACTAGCTGTGATGGAGTGACACTGAGACTGGAAGTGTCACTGAACAAGTACATTTTGGGGTTTATGTATCTGTCCCAGCAATAGGGAAGTGTAAGTGGTTCTTATTTGAACTGCAGTACTTACATACAGTATGTTGAAGTTCAGTTGTTGGAAAGCATGAGCCAAACACATAAAAATACACTGTAGTGATGACCAGACAACTGACAACAAAATAGATAATAGTGAAACTAAACTTGACAGTAACTTATAATTAAGAAGGAAAAATAACAAACTTTGAAAGTAAGACCAACCCAAGACAGCACTGGTGATACGCTGATAAGAGTCTTTCCCAAAATTGAGGAAACTCTAGCGGAGTATACATGCACACATGTGCAGTAGGAACTTGTTGATGATGCTTGTTAAACAAAATAAAAATCTCTGTATTCGCTGTTAAGATACCAGCTTTTATTGTGAATGTTAAATTTAGGTACTCCTAATTAAATTAAAAATGTATGGGATTGTCTGGTTTTTGTCCTTCAAAAGCCAAAATAATTATTTCCATTTTGGAGTCAGTTTGTAACCCCTTAGGAAGATGCTTGTGGATTGCTGTTGAAGAATCACAAATGTTTGCATTTAAAGCACTGGTTGAGAGATTGGACTAGATAATCTTTAAGTCCCTTCTAGTTCTGAGGGTTTTTTTGTAACCTGGATCTGAAAAAGATAAGAATATTCATGTTTAAAAAAGACCATTTTATAGTGCTTTTCTTTGAGTAATGATGTAATGTATTGTATGGTGGTTTATGGTTTTTGAAAGCTACAGATTTTTTGGAAGAAACTTTTCTTGCAAAGGATCTTTAGTCTCTTACATTTTAAATGTGAATAATGTGATGAAAACATAAGGGAATGCAAACATCAGGACTTCAGTAATTGCTAGCCGTGATTGATCATTACAGTAGTAGTATTTGACCAGTTGTTTTTTTTTTTTTTTAATTGAACTTTCTAAAAGGCTCTTGCTTTAAAAAACTTTAGGAAACTCACTTTGCCAAAACTTGAAGATGTTATCATTAAGGGGTCTTCATACCAGCTATGGCCCCTCAAAAGGTAGAAAGCAGAACTCATTCTGTTGATATCTGAAAATGGGAAAAATACTTAACCGAGTTGAATAAGCTGCAAAGTAATATGAAGGCAGTATCAAATTTATTGTTGGTTATATATAATATCCTTTCTTTTTCTTTTTAGTGAGATCACGCACTATAGGTGAACTTTTAGCTCTAGCAGCTCCTTTTGACAAGAAATGTGGTCGTGAGAATTGGACTGTTGCTTTTGCTCCAGATGGTTCGTACTTCGCGTGGTCCCAAGGACATTGTACAGTAAAGCTTGTTCCGTGGTCCCAGTGCCTTAAGAACTTGTAAGACACTTTTCTTTTTTGTATTATGTATCTGTTTGTAGAATTTCCTATTTTCTCTGTGTGTGGAGTAATAAAAAGATTTTGATATATGAGACATTTTCTTTTATAGACTTGCAAATATATTTTATCATAAGCTGAATGTATATATTGGAAAATTTGTGGGAAGTATTATTATTTCCTATAGGATACTTTGTCAGATCCTTTGTATTTTTAAATAAGTGTTTCTGTGTATGAAAAGGCAGATTAATTGTGCCTTGGTTTAGTGTTATTTGTGCCAGGTCAGGTAACCTTTGTTATGTGATGCTTTTTGATTTCACAACATTTTATTAGATAACAGAGGTGCATAGATCATGTAATTACTTTTTATGTACTTAGCCTCTGCTTGGGTTTAATTGAGTTTGGATATTTGTTGAAAGTTTTCCTAAAATGTATCATACTAAATTTAATCTTCCCCTGTTTTTGTGTCTAGTTGACTTTTGTGTTTAAATTTATTAGTATCCTTGTTACATATTCCTTTAGGTGTAGAAACTATGGGAAACCACTGATTATTATGGGTTTGTCCCCCCGCCCCAAGGAAATTTTCTGGTGTTGGCTTCACAATATCTTCTCAGGTTCTTTTTGTTTTTTCCTTGTTTATACTTGATGTAGGTAAAGGTCTTAATTTATACAGTGGTTTTAAAGAAAATTTTGAAACAAATTACTTTATTGTTGAATTTCCTCTCATTTCAAACACTGAGAATTTATTTAGTCATGCCCTCATAGCTAATGACAACTTTCCCCTTCCCATTTATAGGATTCTGTTGTTATTTAGTATCATGATAATATTGAGGTTGTTTTAACAAACATCATTTCATATCCACAGGAATTCTGAATAAATAATAACTAGGTTTCTGTCTGACCCTTTCCCCCCCGCAGTCTCTTGCATGGCACCAAGAATATCACTAATTCAAGCAGTTTGAGATTGTCAAGACAAAATAGTGATGGTGCTCAGAAAAATAAGCCCCGTGAACATATTATAGACTGTGGTGATATAGTGTGGAGTCTTGCTTTTGGATCTTCAGTTCCAGAAAAACAGAGTCGCTGTGTAAATATAGAATGGCATCGATTCAAATTTGGACAAGATCAGCTACTTCTTGCCACAGGGTTAAACAACGGGCGTATCAAAATATGGGATGTATATACAGGTATGGAGTCACAATTTTAAAAGCAGACTGGATTATTTTATGATGTGGGGTGTTGCTCATAGGCAGTAGAGTGTATGGTTTGAGAACTTTTGCCTACTGAAAAGCAAGAATTGGTGCAATGTGTTTTTATAATTGGCCTGAATAGCATCTTCAACTGTGGATTTAGTTTAGGATAATAAGAGTTCACACTGCTTGATCACTCTTCAGAGGCTATCACAGCATATTACAACAGAAAGGGCATATCTAAGGAATGTTTCTTTAATTAACACTTATAAATAGTAATTAAGTTTGACTCAAATAGCAGGACGTTTTCTTACATATTTTCAGTGATAGATAGCTTACGGATTTCAAGGCAAACATGGTTTTCAACAATCACCTACCAGGGTCGTCCAACCTTTTGGTGTCTCTGGGCCATGCAGAAAGAAGAGTTGTCTTCGGCCACACATTAAGTACTCAAACACTAACAAAAACTGATGAGCAAAAAAAGGTTTTAAGTAAATTAATGATTTTGTGTTGGGCCGCATTCATAGTCATCCTGGGCCGCATGCGGCCCACGGGCTGGAGACCCTTGAAACCTTATAAAGTTTTAGTGATGTTTAGTGATGTTTAACTAGATAGGATTAGAAGTTCTATTCCTTGGGCAATTAAAAGTAAATATGTTGTTCATTACCTAAAACAGTTTTTGGCTGAGAGTATGTACTCAAAATTTGAAAGATTTTTAAAAATGAGCATTAAAACATGTACATTAGAACACAGCAGGTGATACGTTCAGTGGTGATGAGTAATAAAATCCAATTAAATACTTGAAAAAATTTAAGCACATATATGTTCATAGAAAACAAAATTCTTAAAATACTATGAATAAAGTACATCTTTTTCAGTGAGATTATGTTTGAAAACTTAGGCTGTTGTGGGATAATGTGCATCTTTTGGAGAGCTTGACAGTCCATTAGTAATCCCAAGGCCAAGGAAAATTTTGATTTATATTTTAAAATCATACTCTACAAAGATTTTAAAATGACAATAATGTAGGTTTTCTTGAGACTAAATTAACTTGATCCAGGAGTTTGTGCACATTTCAAGAATTCCCTTTTAATTTTTTCTAATAAATGTAGGCTTTGCTATCCTGGAAATAATTCATTTTAGAACAACGTAAATACTGAAAATTTAAAGGTAATAGTAAAAGAATTAATAAGTCATTTTACACTTGGTAAGCTAAAGAGATGCTCAAGTATGTTTTTAAATGGTGAGGAACACTATCTCATAAAATAGAAGCTGATAAAAATTATTAACATTGTCTTATTTTCCCCATTTCATTTAGGAAAACTCCTCCTTAATTTGGTAGATCATACTGAAGTGGTCAGAGATTTAACTTTTGCTCCAGATGGGAGCTTGATCCTGGTGTCAGCTTCAAGAGACAAAACTCTGAGAGTGTGGGACCTGAAAGATGATGGTATGTCTTTTTTTCCAGGCTGTGAAAAAGATTTAAGTTTTTTGATATTGCCACTGAGAGGTATTGGGTTCTCTGGGGCATTTGACTTTAACAGTGGCATTCTGATCAGTTTCCTTTTCTCTAGTCCTTTGGTCCCCTTCTTTGTATAGATCAAACAAAACCATAAATGTGACCCAGAATAGGAGTCAGCAGTTACTCTAAGCAAACAATCTAATATTATTCAGAAACTAACCACACAGATAGGAATCAACTATTTGAGGATAAAATCTAGATCAGTTTTAGGGTTTTATATGAACTGATCTGTTAGTTTTTTTCTTGTCTTAGGGAGGATTATTAACTTCATTTGCTTAGTAAAAATTTAAGTAGACCTTGAATAACAAACAGATATAACTTAGTGATCTAATAAAATTTAGGTCAAAATGTGACTTGTACACCAGAATTTATAACATGTAAATGCTGTTAAGCATAATATTACATTGGATAGGTTAAGAAAGAAGTTACCTTATGAAAAGTAGATTTGCCCTTCAATATAATAAAAAGTATGTCAGTGACAAGTACTCAGATTTTTCTGAAACCTTGATAATTGTGAGGCTTACTAATAAAATTATGAAGAATCTACCTTGTTTGAGAGGACCATAGAGAGTATCTCTTCCCTCTTCTTAGCCTGTAATGAAAGAGTTTACAGTTTTAATTAAACCCTTGTATTTAAATAAGATCTACTAGTTCTGTAACAGCCTCAAGGTGGAAGTTGACAGGCTTGCTTAGTTAGGTAGCTTAAACAGAATGTAGTAGGGAGCAAAACTCTTAGATTTGGAGGCTTGTTCCAGCTGATGGAACCATTGCCTAATAAAATATGTTACTATTATCAAACCATGAGGTACCTCCTCTGCATGTTATCAGGTCTCTTGACTGCTCAGCTGTTGAAGGGTTAAGGGATCCCAATAGTTAAAACAGTTTGATAATTAAATTTTTTGTATTTTGCATATCAAAGAGTACTTGCTTTCTCAACATATTTTTCAGTTGTGTGCATATGTTTTAACAGTGGAGACTCAGTAAAATGTAACCTCCAAGAGAGCAGAGACTTTGTCTTGTTCACAGTTGAGTCTTCACTGCCTGGCATGTAGTAGGTATTCAGTAAATATTTGTAAAACTACGTTAAAATATACTTAGCCATAATTTTGTGCTTTGGGTATAATGTACAGGGGATTGGAAGTAGAATGTAGGTTATTAGAAAGAAATAAGGGTGGAAAGGAATTTTGAAGATGTTCATTAAGTCACAACCTTTTGTTTCAGTTCTTTTTTATTTGTAGAACGTAAAGGGATTAGACCAAGAGAAGTCTGTTTTCTGTAAATGAAGGGTCAGCAGACTTTTTCTCTAAGGGCCAGGTAACTGCCGTAGTTACTCTATTCTGCCGTTGGAGCACAACACAAACAAATTGGCATAATTAAATTTCAATAAAATTTCAGTTACAAAAATGAGTAAATAATGTATGCATTGCAAACCCCTGTTATAGATAAATCACTGCTACTATAGAAGTTTGTAATTCTTTAATTTTGCCATTTTTTAATGATACTCATTTGAAGTGGATTCTAGGGTTAATGTGGGTATCTCTTTTTGTTCAGGAAACATGATGAAAGTATTGAGGGGCCATCAGAACTGGGTGTACAGCTGTGCATTCTCTCCTGACTCTTCCATGCTCTGCTCAGTGGGAGCCAGTAAAGCAGTATGTGTCGAAGTTCCTCTACATTTATTTTGAATTGGATTATAATAATGTGTGCATAATCATTTTAAATCTAAGTAACCTATTAAGTCTGTGCTCGGTGTCATGAATATCTTAAATGCTTTATTTTGTGATGGGGGAAAATTTGCATGAGGGAAATTAAATATAGTTATTAATTGTGAAGTGAGAAATTGGATTGCTTTTTAGTTAGAGATACTATTCAGCAAGTAAGGGGTTTGTCAAATTTATTTTTTCTAAGATCTAGGAAAGTTTATATGCTATAGAAGAGATACAGTACAAATGTTGAGACATTCCCTTGCTAATAATTTTCTTCTTTGTTGTTCTATTTTTTTGTCCAGTTTGCTGTTTAAAAAAGTTTGAGTCCCAGCTGGTCCTGGACATTTAACTGAAAAAAAGTAACTTAAAAATCGAATAAAAATGAAAATAGCACTCATGTATGTTTTAGAGTGAATTATAGAAGAAATTTGATACGGTCTGTCTTATCCTAACAGGCAGGCATAGTATACCTGTAGACAGATTAAGTATAAAGTGACTTTTAAGAGAGTTATGCTTATTGATGAACTCTCTAGTTGTCTACCAGCTTCTGAGTTAGTATAGTTAAAAGGATTGTTTTAGCTTTAGATATTTATGAAAAGGGTTGAAGTCCAAATACATGTGATGATCACAATACACTTTGAAATAATGGGGAGGCGGGAGGCTGATTAAAATGCATTTAACTTAGCCAAGAAGTATGTTAAAATGATAGTTGAAAATGTTGGAAGTTTAGAAAAAAAAATTTAGTTTAGTTCTTTAAAAATCATAAGAAGGACAAAGCTAGATGTTGACATTGCTATTTTAGGCTGTGTGTTTTCCATATGCTTCTTGCTTTCCCTGTCACAGGTGGTGGCAGCAATATTGGTGTGATTGAGGTTATGCTGGCACCACTCGCACACAGGCGCACAATGGTGTTAGCTGGGCAGAAAGAGTGGCATCTCTGGCTACCGGGCTGGGGGCGACCTTTACCATAGGATGAAGTAACCTTGCATTCGGCTGCAAGGTGTACTGTACGTAACACAGGTGCTGGTCGATGTCCACTTTCTGCTTTTCTTTCTTTCTTTTTTTCTTTTTTAAAATAATTTCCCCCAGTGAAACCCACTGACTCCTCCAAGTAAATTGATCTTCCAGTTTGACGGAATTGGGAGTCTGACATGTGAAACCAGTTTAATGTAATGTAATTGGCTTTCAGGTGGTTTCTCTGTACTATTTTTTGGAATTCTTTGAGATGGTAGAGATAACTTAATTAAGTCTGATCCAATTTAAAACCTCTGGTTTTTTTCTTTGGAAGTAATATATTGTGTCTGTGCAGAAAAAAAAAAAAAATAATGTAGCCAAAGGATTGCTTTATCTCAAGAGGAGGAGAGATTGTCTTACTAGGATTGTCAAACCTCCAAGCTCACATTTTGTATGGATGCAATAAACAATTATGTTTAGAGCTTTTCTGCACAGTCTAACTACCGATTTTAGAAGCTAAAACTATATGTGAACTTCTACTAAAGTAATTTAAATGCTTTATACTTAAAATGACTAATGATTGTGTGGTCAGTTTGGGAAATATAAGATTAGCAAATCTTGATTCACAGAAATGTTAATTGTATTATTTTTGTAAATTAGCATTTTCATTTTGTAATGTGGTTTAACATCCTTGTTGTTTGCCAAAGAAATTTCATTTGGCTGTGAAAATTCTCTTTGCTTGCAGTATCTGTTTCTCTTCCTAGGCTCACGTTGGTGACCCAAGCGTTTTGTAAACAAGTGATTATCTCAAAGGGAGATGCCAATGGAGTAACAATTTGTTAACCTTACATTTTCTGTCTGTATATATTTTTTTAAATTTGGTAGTTTCTGGAAGAAAAAGAAGAGGGTTTGTAGTACTTAACCCTATTTATTTCTGTATATTTTAGTTAATTAGTTTTTGGAATAAGTGGATTCAGTATAACTTTTGTGGTTACTGCCTTTTTTATGTTTAGGCTTATATTTTAATTAACATTTAACAGAAACATTTTAAATAGAATTTGCATGTCTACTTTAATTAACTTAAAGACTGATTTTTAATCTACGACACTGAGCATATTCTTTTAATTATCCATAATTTGTAATGTTTAATTTAATATCTGAATTAAATTTAGCAGTTTTAGTTTAAGATGTGCCATTTTGACCTCTGTGTATCTGAATGAAGCTATAACATTTTACTTTTTATTGCAGGTTTTCCTTTGGAATATGGATAAATATACCATGATACGGAAACTAGAAGGACATCACCACGATGTTGTAGCTTGTGACTTTTCTCCTGATGGAGCATTACTGGCTACTGCATCTTATGATACTCGAGTATATATCTGGGATCCACATACAGGAGACATTCTGATGGAATTTGGGTGGGTAAAGTATGGATTATTTTAGTCTGTAGTTCATCTCTGGCTGTCAGTATATAACTTAAGAAATTACATGAATGATTACAATCACTAACATATGAAACCTAAAATTGTCATCTATTGTAATTTAAAATTTTGTTATTATTTAACTCCTTGGATAATGCAAAGCGTTAAATATAAATTCTAAAAGTAAACTTGGCTATCTTATACCGATCTTGTTATTTAACAGTACATGACTCTGTAGAAGGGATAATTACATTTAGAGTTTCATGCTGGAAAAAATAGTTTCAAGTTGGACTTAATTTTAGTGCCTTATATAACATTCTTAAAAGGAGATTAGTAATTCTTTTTAGATTCCTTTCATTTAATTTGGATATATCAGCTCCTCTCAGGTCTTAGTTGTATTCATTAAGGCCACTTTATACATTACTCAAAGACAGGTGTATTTTGTACCTGGGAAGTTTATTTCTTGAAGTGACTCTCATTTTCACTGTATTTTTACCTCAGGCACATGTTTCCCCCACCTACTCCAATATTTGCTGGAGGAGCAAATGACAGATGGGTACGGTCTGTATCTTTTAGTCACGATGGACTGCATATTGCAAGCCTCGCTGATGATAAGTAAGTGTGTGAATTACAGTTTGACCTATTTATTATTGTCTTTTAAAGATTTATTTTGAATTACAGTTTGACCTATTTATTATTGTCTTTTAAAGATTTATTTTCATCTTCTAGTTAATGAAAACATTCTTATGGCTAAAGAAAGGGGAAAAACCTTGTCTGCAGTTTTAGTGTCTCATTCTCTAGACAAGATCTTGAAAGATGGTGTGTCTTAAAGAATGTTGACCCGGCCCTAGCCAGGGTGCTCGGTTGAAGCATCATTCCATGCACCAGATGGTTGTGGGTTTATTTCCCGGTCAGGGCACATACCTAGGTCATGGATTTGATCCCCAGTTGGGACACATACAGGGGCAACCAATTGATGCTTTTCTCTCACATCAGTACTTCTCTCCCTGTCTCCCTCCCTCCCTCCCTACCTCTTGCTCTAAAAATCAATAAATATATCCTTGGGTGAGGATTAAAAAAAGAAAAGCACATTGACCCGAGTAGTATGCATGTAAACTAAAGATAATGCATGCCTTTCCCTGTGCTCCTTGTTAGCTAGTTCAAGCAAACTGGGTAGATTTTTAATTAGCTTTTAGGCTAGCTCACAGATTCTTTATTTGCCAATAATCATTGTCTTCCTGTTTGCTTCGATAAATTCTGCGTGTCAGTTCTCTGCCATTCCTAGATGTCCTCTACCTAGGTGAAAAAGCTTTATAAATGTCTTGGAATAATGGTAAAAAAGATCAAGTATTGGATTTTAAATGTAAGAAAAAAGGAGAAAGCTTTCGGCTATGAGCATTATAGATCTGAACTAGGAAGGACAGACATGTATTATAGTCTCTTTAAGTGTGAGTTGACCCAAATCACAATGTATATAGACTATACAATACTTTATAAAGCAAGTTACAGAATTGCTTTCTGCAGTGATTTGTGTGAATGTACTATTTTGTGACTCAGAACATGTGGGATTTCTTTCTCAATTTTAAAAGTTGCCTTTACCTTAGATTTCCTACTACATACTTACTGGACAATTTATTTCCTTTTCAGAATGGTGAGGTTCTGGAGAATTGATGAGGATTATCCAGTACAAATTGCACCTTTGAGCAATGGTCTTTGCTGTGCCTTTTCTACTGATGGCAGTGTTTTAGCTGCTGGGTAAATCTGTTTTTCTATTTTTTTGTTTGTTTGTTTTTAAGACACAGTTTCAGGTAGTCTTTAGTCAAAGCAGCCAGTATTTATTATCAGTAAATCTTCCATAAGGCTCTTTATAAAACTATTGCTTGGTCATAAAGGACATCATGATCATTGGTTGTGTCTCCTTAATTAGGTTTTAACATGTAGTTTGTGACTCTTAATACACAGCTTTGGATGATAGTTGTTTGAACTGTGGGATGGTGAAATACATGTATTCCTGTGACTGAGCTTGTGATTTTTTTTCTGTTTGTTTCTGTTTAGGACACATGATGGAAGTGTGTATTTTTGGGCCACTCCAAGGCAGATCCCTAGCCTTCAGCATTTATGTCGTATGTCAATCCGGAGAGTGATGCCCACCCAACAAGTCCAGGAGCTGCCGATTCCTTCCAAAGTGTTGGAGTTTCTCTCCTATCGTATTTAGAGGACTCTGCCTTCCCTACTAGTAGGGACTGACAGAGCACACTTTACACAAACCTCAAGCTTTACTGACTTCAAGTATCTGTTTTTCAAGGTTTAGAAGATTTATTTAATTTGATATGTTCTTGTACTGTGTGTTGATCAGTTTTTAAAATATTATTTATAGACTATAGGAGAAATATCTCTGAACATAGAAAATGCAGTTTTTTCCTAAAACTTAACTGTGAAACATACATACATGTACATATTTAGATATAAGCTGCTATGTGTTGAACGGACTCTTCTGCTTTTCTGATCTTTAGTTTTGACATGTATATATTGCTTTAGTAGAGCCACATTATGTATCTTTGCTGTAAAGTGGAAGGAAATTTTTTTTTATTCTAGGATACTGTGTTTAGATGGTAAATATTGACTTAAGAAAGCTGAATTGCCTCATATAAAATGTGTATCTGGTGGGGGGAATCAGAAAACTGACTTGTAAGTAACACAAAGTTTTTGTATAGGGAATGGATTTTGTTTTCCTTACAATGGCATCTGAGAGGGTGAGTTTGAATGTGACATCATTCAGTTAAAAACAGCCAGGATATAACTAGAAAAAGTGTGTCTCCTCCCCCTGCCCCCAAACTACTGCTGCAGACCTTTATTCTGGAAAGCAGCTTGTTACTTTAACCCCTGTGGTATAAAGTATTATGAACTGCAGTCAGTTTGAAAATCCATCTACTGTATTATTTTCCTGCTAAGTATCTTGTTGTTTGTATTAAGGGACAGTTATTTTAAGACCATGGTTTTGTGTTTTGTTTGTTTTTACACGTATCCTATGTTTCTGCAGGGGATAATACTGGTGACTTACCAAAGAAGCAATACAGTATACCTGCTTTTGCCTTCTGTTATTTATCTTACCTGCAGATATTAAGAAATGTATGTATTATGTAAAATGCTTGATTATATATTTTTGTTTTTTTTTAATTAAAGACATAAAAAAATCACTGTCTTCTGCAAATGTTTCTTAAATATGTTGGAAGGTTTAATGCTTCTTGTCTGTCTCCACTGTAGGATTGATTGAGCACCACTAGCAAAATAAGCGAGAAAGGTTGTGAAGTAGTAGCACAAGGGCTAGAGTTAGTGCTTCATGAATTTAATGTTTACATTGGTTTCTTTTGGGAGCACTGTTGCAGTAATTCTTGTTTTAAAAACTCTAGAACAAAGGAAAATAACTGCTGAGGTAGAGGAAAATGGGATGTTTCAGGGGAACTAATAGGCTTATAATAAACCTACCTGGTTAAAATAGCTGTAAGAAAAATCTAGTGATGCGGGCACTTTGAGGAGGCAAAATAGAAATAAAAGTAAAATCTTTTATTAGTTGTATGTGCTCATGAGGACTTGATTATTTCCACTAAGAAATTACTTGGAAGTTCTTAAGAGTTGGCTCTGTTGATGGTGTATATGGATGTAGGTTATAAATTTGAAAGCCAGTGGAAAATTTGCCAGTTACTTCTTGAGAATCACCTATATTTTATTTACTTAAGATTTTATTTATTTATTTATTTTTAGAGATGGGGGGAGGGGAGGAGGAGGAGGGAAAGAGAAACCTCGATTGCATCCTGACTGGACTGATTCCTGTGCTCTGGGGGATCAACTGGAAACCTTTCACTTTGTGGAACAACGCTCCAACCAACTGAGCCACACCTGTCGGCTCACCTATATTTTGCAAAAAGAAGCACAAAAGTATCTCTAAACCTGTTGCGATTTTTTTTTTGTTTTGCTTTTTATTTTGTAATATATCACTTTATAATTTTAAAGATACATTACTTACTCTTCACACCATTACATCATTTATTCTCCAACCAATTTACTTGACCAAGTTAAAAATAACATTTTTTTTTTCCAAAGTGTTCAGGGCAGCTTCCCTGTTCTGTTAATTAAACTTTGGGACATTAAAACACTGGCTTAGGAGAGATTGGATAGAAGGCATTGCTCTATTCATTTACCTCCCAGCCTACAAAAATGAAAAAAAAAAAAAATAGCATTTTTGGATGAATCATTTTCTGAAAAGACGAGAATTGTTTGCTTCCTTTTCCCGTGAAAAGCTTAGTGCAGGGTGAAGACTGCAGAGTTTGACTCAAGTAGAAACATGCTTATATTTCCCATTTGTTGGGAAGAAGGTAATAACAGGATGGTAATACTTCAGTGTATTAAAGTATTAGACTGAGTGACCAAGGGAATTGGGAAGACAAGGTTGGATTCTTAATGTGGTCAGAGTCTAGGTAATGATTTTAAAATGATACTGCTTTCTCTCTCCTAGTCTTTGCCACAAGCATGTTTGGACAACTGATGAAATCATTTCTGTTCAGATTTGATTTCTTAGTTTAGTAACCCTTAGGGGTGTGTGCAAACACGGGACACTGCTTCTGCTCAGTAGCCTAGCTTTCTTCAAATTTCAGATGATTTAAAGTGATTTCAAATGACTTTTAAGTCCTCTAACTTGTTACCAGGTTGGCAAAACTTAAATGTGTAAGCCCTGAAATTCCCTGCCTGCCTGAGATGGAGACAAAGTTGGATTCAACTGGTTTGCACTGCCCTCAGGGCAGCAAGACCAAAAAAGGCTGGACTGGACTACCCTGGAGCACGCTCACGGGTTGAGGCAGAGGCTGATGGATACAGAGGCCCTGGCTGTGGGCCAGCCAGCACAGGAATAAAAACACGCGTATAAGAAGTAAAATGTCTCACAAGCCAGAGACCACTGAGACGGTGAATCCCACCTCCAGATGAAGCTTTTGTCCAAGTAATTCCGATCAGGCTCTGGCCTATGACAGCGTTTCAATTACAGAATTTATATATATATCTTGTAGAGTTACAGGTGGGCTTACTCTTGCAAGCATCAATTGACGTATACTGATTGTTTTTCAAATCCTTTCCCTGAAGAAGTAAGAGGGTTTTTTTGGTAGCAAACAATAAAGTACAACCTGGAGGAAATGTCCCCATAACCTTGGCTCATGTTTATGGTAAGATGTGTGGGAGAACCGAAGATTCATGGACAATTACAACCTGCCCTTTGCTCTGTAAAGCTTGCTTTTATTGCAGAAAGCAAAACATTGGGTCTGAAATAGGTATAAAATGACCTTTACAGATGGTTGGGTAGCTTTGTGTGGTTGTGACTTATATTGATATAGGCTTATTTTAACGGAAGAATCAGAAGAGAAAAAAGCTTGAATGATGCCAGGATTGGGGAAGGAAAAACAATTTAATTCTATTTAAATTAACTCCAGCATTATTTTCTTTTTTAGAGACTAATGACTATGATTATTCTTGTGGCTTCTCTTTTATTTTAAAATTTTCTTTATTATTTTTTTAATCCTCACTCAAGGATATGTTTATTGATTTTAGAGAGAGAGAGGCAGAGAGAGAAAGACGGCAGTTGGTACCCTCCTGCACATACCCCAAACCCAGGATTGAACCTGTAACCTTTTGTACAGGATGATGTTCCAACCAACTGAGCGATCTGGCCAGGGCTTTTAGACATAATGTTAGAAATCCAGGAACTTGCTCCACCTGTGAAAGTAAACCTCAGCCTTTGTTAAGGGTAAACTAGAATACAGTAATGATGATAATAGATTTTTTGTTTTATTTTAAATCAGTCTGAAGCACTAATGGCTCCTTTTAAAAATTACTCCCCAAAAATAGTGTGAAGTAAAAAGTGTCTAATGTTAGGAAATAAGATGGAATGACTTGCAATGAAGACATGAAATGGCAACTCCAGTAAGTTGTTTTATGTATATTATCCGTTAATAATGAAATGTTCTCAGGAAAATAAAAGAACAATATATATTAAAAGATACCTGCGAAAGAGGATAATATAAAATGGGAACCATAAAGACAACATTTGCACTCACTAAGTGAGCCAAATGTTTGGCTCGTGGAAAGCCCACCCACTAAGCCATAAGATTCACAGTGCCAGTCTCAGCAATTGTGAGGAAAGTCACAGTTAAAGTTTACTATAGGACCAGCAGGAATGCTTCCTGAAAAGTTTTTAAATAGGTTACACAGCCATTTTTCTTAAAGATTTTACTTATTTTTAGAAAGAGGGAGAGAGGGAGGGAAGGAAACATCAATATGGGAGAGAACATCAGTAGGTTGCCTCTTGTACACCCCTAACTTGGGATTGAACTCATGACCTTTCGGTTTGCAGAACGATGCTCAACCAACTGAGCCACACCAGTCAGGGCACCTCTTTTTTGTATGCCTCAACCACTTCCCCAACCTCCAAGCCCCCTAGGATGATTTGGTAGGAGTTACTCGGGTTCCAAGTTCTCTCTTGAAAGAGAGATACTGGTTGAGCTTAGCAAAGAAGCAGCAAACGCTCCTGTGGGCCAACTGTGTTGCGAAAGTCTGTAGCCCCCATGGCAAAGGTGGTCCCCATCGTCCCTTGTTTGTCACACAAGCCTACTTGTTTTACTCAATTTCATGGCATTCCAAAATCTTCTGGATAATTTGAGTTTATGATCTAGAGCTGGCCTCTGGGAGACACAGATAAGCTGCCTCTGCCATAAGTGGTCTTGGCCCTTCCTGAAATACCATCAGTCTTAGTTAATTTCCATGCCACTTGGCCTCCCAGATACGTTCTGTTGCTAGATACTCCTTTGGGATTCATGCCTCATTTAGAAGACAAACGTGTCACACCTGGGTGGGGGTTGGTTCTCTCAGGGGTTGGCTGGCATTTGGATCACAGTGACTTGTTAGAGCCATGGAAGGATGAGAGAGCAGACCCTGGTCAGCAGACAAGGAAGTAATCCTGGGTCGGGGAGTTTGGATTAGAGTCCAGTGCCAGCCCATCCGGCTTGTGCTGGGCAGAGAAAGCTGCTCTCTCACACAACAGCTGGCAAAGACCCAGCCTTCTAGGCTTCGCCCCATCTGGCCTCAGATCAGGAGGATGTTCATATAGCAAGTTGGCCTGGTTTCTCATCCCAGGGCCTGCTGCCCAGAGGGCTTTGCAGAAGTTGCTGGCTGAGGCTAGAGTCCCAAGAAAGACTTTGGGTGATTGCTGGCTTGGCTGCTTAACAGCTTGTGACTTTGGGAGCTTTCATATAATAAATGCTGTAATAGTGTAATAATGCCTCCCCTATATAAATAGTGTTTAGCTTTTATCTCATATATGCACAGGCATTCGACAGTTGTCAGTTACTACTACCATTTGTTAAGCACTGACTGTGTGTGCTCATTGCTACTTCTGGTGCTTCCCAGAAACTCTGTAAAGTAATTATTGCTATTTCATAGCTGCGGAGGTTCAGAGAGACCAACTCACTCCTCTGGGTTGTACAGCTAAGAAGTGACATCCAGGATACCATTCTGGTTGCTGTCTCCAGAGCCCTGTTTCCCTCCATAATGGCCATTAATGGGCACTATCATTCAGGAAGGGCACTCAGTCAACATCAGACTCCTAAATTAGTCCCTGCCTGCGTCTTTGCCAATCCGCCAGGGTCATGTATGATGTCAGTCTTAACCTTTCTCAACACACTGCACCTTTCACTGACTTGTGGCGGTGGGGAGGGGGGAGAATGAATAATGAATGCCAAATGTAACTTGGCGATCAAAACCCACGCAGGCAAGAAAATGACTATTGAACTCTGCCCTTCGCCCACTGCCTGGGAAAATTACATAAGACATTGTCTAGTTTTTCCTCCACACTGATCTCCTTAGGAACTTATCTCAAATTATTTTTATTGCCCATCTGAACAATCCAACTCAGGCTGAAGCAGGAAGCAGCGAAACAGTCACTGGAGGTGAGAAAGTCAGGTGACCTTGCAGCCACTGGCTTTAAAGATCAACACTAGGTCTGGTTCCAAGCTGTCACATCCAGGGCAAACCTGAGCCCCTTGCTCCTGTGTGAACAAGGTCAGACTCATTTGTCTGGAACTGATCTAGCAGGAGTAGCAGCCTCCAGTGTGGCATTGGGCCAGAGACCAGGAGGCCAGACGGGATTGGGGGAAGAGTTGGTTATCCAAGTGAAATGATGCATTGAAAGAGCAGGAACAGTTCATAACCAGGAAG